TATATCTATTAAAAGTGTTAAGTGCTACACATTTGTTTTTAAGCACTTTTTAACTTTAGTTGTTTCCTGTAGTTTTTGATATGTCATGTTTACATTTTCTTCAAAATATTTTCTTAAATCCCTGTGATTTCTTCTTTGACTCATGGGTTATTTAGAAATGTGTGTATACTTTCTAATTAATTGAAGATTTTCCAGTTACTTTTCTGTTACTGATTTCTAATTTAATTCTGTTGTAGTTAGGAAACATATTTTGTATTATTTGAACCCTCTTAAATTAATCAAGATTTGTTTTATGGTTAAATAATTTACTTAGTAAAGGTCCTTCCTATACACACCAAACAAAACTTTTTTTTAAAATAAGGGTCCTGCATACACTCAAATTTATGTGTTGTTGGGCTGGGATTGTACCTCAGTGTTAGAGTGCTTGCCTGGCACATGTGAGGCACTAAGTTTTATCTTCAGCACCACATAAAAAGAAATAAATAAGATAAAGATATTGTGACCATCTACAACTAAGAAGTAAAAAATAAAATAATTATGCAGTTGTTGAGTGAAATTATTTGTAAATGCCAATTAGATCAAGTCTTCTGTATCCTTAATGATTTTCTGCCTATTTGTTCTTTCAATTTTAGAGAGATATTGAATCCTTTAACTATAATTATGCATTCATCTATTTTGACTTCCAGTTTCATTAATGTTGGAGCATAGGGTTTGTTTTTATCTTAATTTCTCAGATTATTCTAATATGTAGCCAGACTTATAGGGAAATGCTATAAACCAAAGGTTCTCAAATTTTAGGGTACATTAAAATCACTTAGGGCTTATTAAAACAGATTGCTAGGCTCTAACCCCAGAGATCTGGGAGTCTGGGATCCAGCCCAAGAATTTGTGTTTCTTGTAGTTCCCAGGTGATGTTGACACCATTATCAGGGACTTGGTCCAGAGGTCATACTTTAAAAATTCTTGGCTAAAAGACGGTTTCTCTTAGAATGTTGCGTGTTAGAATGATCTAGAAAGCTTTGAGATAATCCTGATGTATAGGCCACATCCAGACCAATTAAATTCAGGATCCGAATCTGGGGGTGGGAGGTGGGTAGCAGGACTAGACCTGAGTATCAGTATCCTTTTAAGTTCCCTGTATGGTTCTAATAAGTAGCCAAGATTGAGAATCACTGTTCTAGACTACAGTAATTATCCATTTGCCCAGGAAATTATTTGGGGCTTACGACCACTCTTCTTTAGTTTTCCTTGTGTAAAAAACACTATTCAGGGACTGGGGCTGCAGCTCAGTGGCAGAATACTTGCTTAGTGCATGAGAGGCACTGGGTTTGATCCCTAACACCTCATAAAAATAATATAATAAAGGCATGCTGTCCATCTACAACTACAAAAAAGTTTAAAAATACAACACTGTTCAGTGCTAGCAAACAACAGGTTGTATGAATGATATAGTGTGAAGAGCTGGGTACTAGATTTCAGCTCCTTCTCCTTGGCTGTCAACCTGGCAGTTACCTCTTTTGTAAAATGAAGCCAATATTTCTTATTCATTTCCTAGAAAATAGAAATTTTCTGACAACAAATAACATCCTTCTTTATCATTGGAAAAAGAAATTCTATTAATTAAGTATATTTACAAATCAAACTAATTTTTTGTGGGGCTGGGGTTGTGGCTCAGTGGCCGATTCGATCCTTAGCACCACATAAAAATAAATAAATAAAATGAAGATATTGTGTCCACTCACTACTAAAAAAAGGGGGGGGGGCTAGGGATGTGGCTCAGTGGTTAGGCTTCCCCTGGGTTCAATCCCCAGTACCAAAAAAAAAAAACCTAATTTTTGTTTTTTGGAGGTACTGGGGATTGAACCCAGGGGTGCTCTATCACTGAGCTACATCGTTACCATTTTTTTAAAAGAGGAAAGCATTTTTATTTATTTATTTTTAATTGTACACAATACCTTTATTTTGTTTATTTATTTTTTATGTGGTGCTGAGGATTGAACCCAGGGACTTGCAAGTGCTAGGCGAGCACTCTACTGATAGCCACAMCCCCAGCCCACCCTTTTCATTTATTTATTTTTGAGACAATGTCTTACTAAATTGCTGAGGCTGGCCTCAAACTTGTGATCTACCTACCTTAGCCTCCTGTGTAGCTGGGATTACAGGTGTACACCACCATGTTGGCTCAAAATGATCTTTTATCTAATAATATTATTTTACTCTATAGTTTCTGAAGAGAAGAAAAATATTTACTAGAAAAATCCAGTTACTCTTCATCCTCTCTAATATTTGCAGGGAAATTGATGTGTAACAGATGTGTACTACAAAGAAACCTTAGTAGCCTTTCCAGAAGTTAAATCATTGAATGAGGACATTTTAGTGTTCCATTAACTCTTTCATTCTTCACTTCATCCTTCACAGGGACTTTGACCAAGGAGAAAGCATTCTGATAACAAGAATTATGACAACAGTGCTAACACTTTTGAGCACAGCCTTCTATTTTTCTTCTCCTTCTCTATCTCATTCCCCCTTTTTCTTTTAATTTTCAGAGTAACTTTATTCACATTTTATAATTCATGATTTTTTTTTACTTATTTATTTATTCATACTGGGGATTGTACTCAGGGATGCATAGCCATTGGGCTACATCCCCAGCTCTTTTTAATTTTATTATTTATTTCTATTTTGAGACAGGTTCTTGCTGAGTGGCTGGGATTATAAGCATGYACCACTCACTGTGCCTGGCATCATGACATTTTTACAACTAATGAGGTAGGTAGGACAGATATTGGTGTCAACATTTTTCAAATGAAAAACCTATGTAAAGAGAGACTGCACATGGAACTAGCCTGTAACACAGGCAAGTTCAAATTTTTTACTAATAAAGGTGAAGAAAAAYGTAAGCAGAAAAACCAGAAATCTTCAGATAGCTCCAGGAGTCATGTTAGAGACTTACTAAGCAATGGGCTACAAGAATAAACATTTCAAGGGAATAGTTAGAGATGAAGTCATCCAGTTCATCAAAACCATTTTATAAAAGGGGAACTTGGTTTGCCATTGGAAGCCAGAACATATGAAGAGTCCAGATTGACAGGCAGGATTCCCAAGTTCTTGGCTTTACCATGACACTAGATTCAGACCAACCCAAGTAGCCATAACCTACATACATTTGCACTTCAATATTACACAAGTATTTCAAACTCCCATCCAGAAGTATTTTGCCTCCTTCAGCTATTCCCTCCCTTTTTGTGCCAATCCATCTCAATAGATAGCCCAGGGAAGAATCCTGGGAATCATCCCTCTTTCTTATACCACCTCCTCTCAGTTACCAAAATCTGCTCCAGATCTTTCAGATMCATCTTCTCCTCCCCATTTCTTCTGCCATACTCTTGTATCAGATCCTCACTCTGCGCTGCCTTGGTTAAGTTTCTACAGTTGTCTAACAGGTCTCCCAGCTTCTACTTCTTGCCTTGTTTTAATCCATTTGCCACCCTGCCAATCACAGAGAGCTTCCAAAACAGAAATTGTATGTCATTGCTCTATTTACTATTCATTTTCTCTCTACCACTCATAGGATGAATCCTAACATCCCAAGCAGTCCCAGTCTACTGTGATTTGGCTTTTGCCCTCTTCTCACATTTCATCTTTCATCTGTCACAGCTTCAGCCAAGCTTAAATTTTGTAGTTCCTCCAATGCCACTTTTGGCTTTAACCCTAGTGCTTCACTGTTCCTGGAAGTGTCCCCCTTCCTCTACCCTTTGCCTTGCTAAAATTATCTTGCCCTTCTAGACTCAGCTCAGGCTGGAATCTTTCCTGGCACCCAATTTATACCTCCTTTTAATACTTCTTAGCACCTTGTGCAAACAAAAGAGTCACTATGAAGTGTGTTGGCTCACACATCTGTGTCCTTCATGCTGGGAGATGGCAGTGTTTGGTATGAAATAGTCATCCAACAAATATTTGAGGATATACTATTTGCCAGATTTTGTAGGTGTAAGGCATACAGCAGCAAAGTAAGGACACTGGTTGCTATCAAGTGGTATGCAACATAATAAATGAATAAATGGATGGATAAACAAAGATATGTAAGAGAATGAAAAGTACTATGCAGAGAATTAAAATAAATCATGATATGAACGTAACTAAAGGCTTCTTTAGATTGGGTATGTCAGGAAGTTYCCTCTGGGGAAGTGACATTTAAGCTAAGTGAATGCCAACAAGTCATACATTGTGAGTTTTAGAGAGAAGGGCATTCTAGCAGAAAGGACTACTAGCGATAGGGCCAGAAAGATCAAGGAAGGAAGGAAAGACCAAAGAAGGACCATGCTTCTTAATGCACAGGAAAATAGTGAAGATGGTAACGGAGAGGAAGGCCAGGGCCAAATTATGTGGACTTTCTAGGCTTCTTTTTTTTTTTTTTTTTGAGATGAGGACTCACTATGTTGTGGGCTCAAGTGATCCTCCTCCCTCAATCTTTTGAATAGCTGGGAGAGTAGTATGTATGGACTGCAGGTGCAAGCCACCATGCCCAGCCAAACTAGTTTGTATTTTATGCAAGCTGATGAAGAATGACATGATCTGATTTATATTTTTAAAAAGATCACTCTGGGACCATGGGGTAAGGAGCTGTCTGGAGGCTGGCTGAGACCAGTTTGGAAAAAGACAAACGTTGGTGGCTTGGATAAGGTGGTCCCAACATTTGGGAGTGAGTGAACATTTGGGAGATATGTGTGTGAGTTAGAATGGCCAGAAACTACTGATGGGCTAATGAATTAAGGATGACCCGTAGATTTGTGGCTCCAGGACCTGGGCAGTTACTTCCAGGAGAAAGGGCTTGAGAAGGTCCCTTGGCCTGCCCGGGGTCTGGCGGGAGTGATGGTCAGACAGCTGGACACTGGCACGCCCAGACCCGCAGAGCGTGGCCGGCCGCCGCTGGGACTCAGAGCCCCACGCGGGGCTTTCCGCGTCTCCCGGGCGGGGCCGGAAGAGGAAGTCCGCGCTGCTGTAGCGGCCCGGCAGCAGCCGCGGTCCGGGCAGAACACTGCCACTGAGGCACCCGCAGAGCGACGCGGAGGCTGGGCGCCCACCAGTACGATGGGCCCGCAGTGGAGATTGCCCGCTTCCGCCGCCGCCTTGATGTGGGGCTTCCTGCTGCCGCTGGTAAGTGGGGCGGGCRGGCGGGCGTCGGGCCTCCCCGGGGCGGGGCGGGGCCCGGAGGGCAGGGGCGCCTTCCCAGCCCCCTCCGCCCGCCCCACGGCCCCGCCGGACCTCGCTCCGCGCGCCGCGGCCTGCTTTCGCTCTTGGTTCCCCTCACCTGCCGCCGCTCACTCCGTCCTTCCAGCCTCCTTTTTATCCCTGTTTCTTCCATCACCCTGTTCCCTCCCGACCCATCAAAGATATCCGCGCAATCCCTTACACGACGTTGACCTGGGTGCCACTCTAATTTTTCATTGTGTAGGCATTTTTTTTTTTTTTTCAATTGGCATCTGGGTTTTATTGTCTGGCCCATTTTACCTCCTGTTAACCTCTTTCCCCTGTGAATAAAGGCCCCTGAGTGCTTAGCGGTTCAAGGACTGCGCTTTTAATTTAATTGCACTAATTCAGCTTATTTGGTTATTATTATTATTTTAGTTTTTCCTTACCCCTCTTAGTTCCATCTTAGTCTTTGGGGGCCTATGTGATTCCTTTGTCAGGGTTTGTTTAGTTTTGTGTTGTAATAGTAATAATTTAAAATAACTTAAAATAACAAAGTAATGCCTTTAGTGGTTTTTCAGTTGTCTGTTTTAAAGGTGTGAAATATCAGCTAAGAGAAGGAAAATACACACAATAAGTGCTCCCAAGTTTGTTTTCATAATTACAGAAAATAATGTTTTAAAATTAATCATCAAGTGATATGAGGTTCAGTGGGTGATTAGGAGGTCATTGTTCAGTGTTTCAGTTTTTGTGCCTATTGGCTTTCACTTAGGGAGTTTCAGGTTGAGAACATTTAAAGGTTATTTATATAAGATCTATATGCTGTATGTCTTTCTTTTCCATTAGAATGTGTAACTTCTCTGAGAGTATATTTTGTCTACTCTCCAGTTTAAAAGGATAATAATTAGTGAATATATTCAAAATGAAAGTGCTTTAACGTTTATGAAGAAAATCTAAGCCACAAAGTGTTAAATGCCTTTGATGTATTCATAATTTTGCTAGGTAACATTAGAAACCCGAATGAACTTATAAAAATTGTCTTGAGGGAGTGCGAAAATACATTATAAAATGAATATCAAAGTAGCAGCCTTAGTCTGGGTTTTTGAGGTGTTTGCTGTGTAATCAGACAGATCATATCTATCCAAAGGATAGTAATTTCAGAGTATGTAAATGTACACAAACTTATAACCTACATATAAAACTTAGCAAAGTGTGTTTGCACTAATTTTTATTTGAATTGTTTAAGCTGATTATATCTATATGTAGATATTGATATAATCTCATATTCCCACTATATTTAGCCTAATAATACATCAATTCCTCATAAACTCACATTGAAATTCTTACCAAAAGCTCTGAACATCTCGCCAGAAAAATATAAGGAGAATATTCACAATTTTATGGGCTTCACAAACCTAAAGGTTTTCCCTGTTCTAAATTGTAACTAGCTTGTGTCTCCCACACTTTAGATTTTAGGATATTTAAGATTGTACCTCTGTATGATATCTTACCATATTAATCTTGGGTTCTGTACTCTTCAGTCCCAAGATTGTTGTGGGAATTAAGTAACATTGTTTTTTACCCCACAAGTATTTGGTGTTCATTTATTATATGGTAGGCACTGTTAATGACTGTGAATAAGTCGACAAAATCTTTAAATTGTGAAGGTCTTTTTCAATTCCAGCTATTATTTTAAATTCTTTCTTGTTTGTTTGCCTTTGAATTTATTTTCTTCCTGAAGCTTCCTTCCTTCAATCACCTAAAATGGTCTCTTTTCATTCCTTTTCTTTTTCTCAGCAGAAGCTCTCCTTCCTTCTTAATGAATAGCTAGTTTTTTCCTCCAGCACTCACTATCTGAAGTCTTTTACCATTTTCTCCCTGAAGCCCTTGTTTTTTTCTTTTTCCTAACTATAGTTGTAGGTGGCCTAAGTTCATTTGAATTAATGATGCCAACTCAGTCATTTCATTTCTTCTTTCTGGTTCTTCTTTCCCTTAGTCAGGGCCAACATCTTCATCTAGAACAGCACATAATTTTCAGAAACCATTTCCACTTTTTTGAAGAAGAGGCAGAGGATTTAGTATTGAAAGGCCATTAAAGATCATTTAACCTGCCCTCCTCATCTTGTTTTCTTCCTATCAGAGTGACCTCACTGTATATTTTGAACTTAAGCTATAGCGTATTTAGCCGTTTTAATTTTTTTATTTGGTTTGGTTTGGTTGGTTTGTTTGGTGGTCATAGGGATTGAACCCAGGGCCTTGCACATGTTAGGCAAGTGCTCTATCATTAAACTAGATCTCTGCCTTTTTTTTATTATATTGAAATAGGATCTAGCTGAGTTCTCCATACTTGCGTCAAACTTTCTATCCTCCTGCCTCAGTGTCCTATGATTACAGGCATTTCCTGGGATTACGGGCATGAGCTACCACACCTGACTTTTATTCTGATCATCTTAGAACATGTTAAACATTTAGGTCTAGAAATAAAAAGAGTTCTTAGTGGGTGGTTAATTCTGTCTTGACCTTGCCATAATTCTGTTTCATGCTTTTCCTTCCCCAGTCCCAATTATTAGATCTTTATCTCACAGTGTGGACCCAGTCATAAGGTATTTTTTCAGAGAGAACAAGTGATGTTTAATCTGTATCTGTTTTTTAAAATTGCTTCAAAGTTCTCTGAAGAACCTTCAGTATTTCTCATAATGTTTTTCATCAAAATTTTCTCTACTTCAAAGATTTTGAAGTATTACATAGCTGTTTGAACTACTTAAATGAGGTGATAATTAGGAACCCAGGAAGAAAAATCTCTCGGAAAATTTACATTCTTGGGCTGGGGATGTGGCTCAAGCGGTAACGCACTTGCCTGGCATGCGTGCGGTGCTGGGTTCGGTCCTCAGCACCACATAAAAATAAAATAAAGATGTTGTGTCCACCAAAAACTGAAAAATAAATATTAAAAATTTCTCTCTCTCTCTCTCTTTCTCTCTCTTTAAAAAAAATTTACATTCTTTTTGTACACTATCCCAACTCAAATAATTTTAATTAATTCTTTCTTTTCTGTCCTCTTCTCCCAACCTCTAGGGGAAAGATGTTACTCAAGCAGTCAAGTTACTCAAGACATGCTAAGCTTCTGTGCTATMTAATGAATATGGCCCCTCCCAAATTCATATGCTGAAGCCCTAACCCCCAGTGTGAAGGTCCCCAGGGTGGAATCTTCATGATAGAATTAGTGCCCTTCTAAGAAGAAGCTCTGAGCATATTGTTCTCTCTCCTTACCATGTTAAAACACAGAGTGAAGGTGGCTATCTCCAAGCCAGGAGGAGAGCCCACCCTAGAAACTAATCCTTCTGGCACTTTTATCTTATATTTCCAGCCTCCAAAACTGTGGAGAAAAAATAATTTCTGTTGTTTATGTAACCACTCTGTGGTATTGTGTTGTGGCTAGGTGAGCCAAGACACCTTTTAGTGCCAAGAATGAGTACTCAAAGGTACTATTATAACAAATATCTAAACACATAAAAGTAACTTTCGAAGTAGATAATGAGTAAGCACTGGAAGAATTTTGAGGTGCGTGTAGAAATATGAACAAAAAAGTCCATTCTGATGAGGTCTGAAGTGGAAATGAGGATCATGTTATTGGACTGTAGATAAAAAGCAGCCTTTGACAAAAAGAGCAAAGAACCTAGCTGAGATATGTTCTAGTGTTTTGTGGAAGGTAGAACTTAGYGAGTGAAAAAATTGAACATTTTTTAAAATTTTTATTTCTTACATACATGACAATAGAGGAATACATTACAATCATAATTATCCATTCACAGCACAATTTTTCATCTCTGTATATAAAGTATGTTCATGCCAAATTATGTCATTATACATGGGCTGTCTTATTTTTTTTTTGCATTACAATTCTTAATACACTTTTATACCACAATTTATCATATCTCTGTTTGTATTATAAGGTATGTTGATAAAAATTGAACATTTATGTGAGATTTCTTATTAAAGTAATGAAGAAATAGGTTGCTTAATCTTGATTTCTTATAGTAAAATATAAAGGAGAAGTGAATTGAAGAAGGAATTATTAGCCGGGCATGGTCGCACATGCCTATAATCCCAGCAACTCAGGAGGCCGAGGCAGGAGGATTGCAAATTCAGAGCCAGCCTCAGCCACAGCCAAGCACTAAGCAATTCAGTAAGACCATTTCTAAATAAAGTACAAAATAGAGTTGGGGATATAGCTCAGTGGTTGAGTGCCCTGAGTTCAATCCCAAGTACCCTCTCCAAAAAAAGAAGGAATTTTTAAGCAAAATGGAACTAGAACTTGAAGATTTGGAAAATATTTAGCCTATCCATATTTAAAAGTGAGAAATATATTTCTGAAAAAAACACAATGTAGTTGAACAACCATTTGATGAAGAGTTATAGGATTATATAAGCAGAAATACTTCTGGTTTGAACTGAAGGGGATGGAGACAGAGATGAAATGAAGAAAGATTGTCACACATTTTGTATTTGACAAGACAATGCAATAGAACTATTTGGCTATGAATGTGCTATTTTACCAGAAAAGGGAAAAGTGAAAGTGAAGGCTATTTAGAGATCATTAGGTCTGTCACCTTGGTTTCAGTAGGTCAGATGTCTTCTACGCAGAGTCTTTGGGGTGCATAACAGCCAGTGAGTCATGAGGTACCTGCCTTAAGTTGTGAGGCAGTTCCCTGCAGAACTAAAGAGTTAGGGTCATCCTAGAGAGCCATGGCCTGGAAGGTGGGATATCAAGCCCATGGATTATTCTTGAACCTCAAGACTTAATAGAACTTGCCTTACTCAGTTTGGGACTTTGTCAATACCTATCACCACTTCTTTCCTTCTATTTCTTTCCTTTTGGAATGAGAATGTCAATTCTATGCTGGTACCATCTTTATATTTTAGAAACAATTTTTTTTTTTTTTTTAGTTTCACAGGTTCAAAACTAG